GTGCAAGTTGTGAATTCAGGCAGCAAAGCAACACTTATTCATCAAAGAACATCCAATTCATAACTTCCCTTACCTTTAGTAGATCCAAAAGAGAAGAGGGAAAGAAGAAGACTCCCACATGATTTTGACTTTGAGAATCCTACTCTGGGAGCTAAAATCTCTAAGTCAAGCAGTTGAATCAACATAAATGGAAGGTTAAAGGAAAAATTCAGAAGTAGAAGAATGAAGGAGAGTTTTTCAAACTCCAAGTAACTTTTCTCTAACTTCTCTCTAGTTTTTCTTAAAATTTGAACTTATGAGATTCACATCTTAAAAAATATTATATACACTTCCTTTAACTAAACAAACTTAACTTTAATTCAATTACCTAAGAGAAAACTTAGCTCTTAGGATCCCTAAACCTCCAGAACTCTAAAACACCAATAACAACAAAACAACATTTTAATCATATATCACATATATAATTAAATTAAAACACCTAAAACACACAATGTTACAAGATGTGATATATTTATAAATTCATGTTAAATGAATTTTTAATCACGACATATTAGTTAAAACAAATATTAATTTTTAACTTGAGAATAATAAAAATAAATACATTATCTGTTTCAAGCAATGAAATAATATTCCCTTATATAATTTTTTTAATAAATATTTAGCAAAAAAATTAGAAATGCCTTAGAAAATTATTGGAAATGATAGTTGTATATTTTTTGGGAGATGGATCCATCTTGAATGGTAACATAAATAGGAAGAAAAATAAAATTTGAGATGCGACAAGAGGTATAATGAGAAAGGCAGAAAGAAATTGAAAGAAAAAGAAAATGAAGAAGGAATTATGAGAAATAAAATCATATATATTGTGTATATTTTTTTTTATAGATATTTGTCTGTAATTATTTAAAACATATTATTTTTGATGAAGTTATGTATCTGTTTTTTTTTTATGCAATATATATACATTTTGTATATTTATATATAAGAAAAATTTATCTATTGTTTGGTCCTAAGTCTCATTAAATGTCCATCTCAATTATTTTTAATGGTTATATATAAGAATAATTCTTACGGTGGCATCCACACGTCATTCTCGTTTAATAATAAACACAATAAAAATGCTCCTTAACTCTTAAAACCCGCCACTTTAGAACTGTTGCTTAGCTTATTAATTTGAAAACAAGATTGGATATATCATTGTTCAGCCTTCACTCCTATGGTGTTGTACTTGCGTCTCAGCCCGAAGACATCACTATCTAATGTGAAAGATTTTGTGCATATAAGAGCAACATCAAGATTAAGACAAACATTATACTTAAGAATGCTCCATGTTAAGGAAACAATGAACATATATTAAGGAAATAATGAAGATATATAAATCACGTGAATAATCACACAAGTGTTAATTATTTTAATGTTATTGTTAATATATTAAATATTTTTGTCATCGTTGATATTAATTTTTTTATTATTATTTGTTAACAGATTAATTTCTTTTATATTATATTAGTGATATCAAGACATTTTATGTCTTTATAATTTATTTAATAAAAATATTTGAAAATTATTAATATTTGTTACATTAATTGATATTTGTTAGATTATAAATATTTTTGTCATCGTTGATATTAAATTTTTTATTATTATTTGTTATCAGATTAATTTCTTTTATATTATATTAATGATGTCAAGATATTTTATGTTTTTATAATTTATTTAATAAAAATATTTAAAAATTATTAATATTTATTAGATTAATTGATATTGTACTTAATTTTTAAATTTTAAAGTCTTAAATTCAAGTTTTGTATTTATAATAATAATTAATTTTTAATATTATTTTTATTATTTAAAAATGTAAGGATAAAGTTATCTAAAACCGTGTACAAAAAATTAGACTATCGTCTTTATATATATTTAGATAAAAAGAATAAATTTTAAGAGATATATGCTTATCTATTTATTTTAAATTTTCCTTCATACATTCTATTATTTTAGACATTGTTTGTGAGAATCCAACATATTTGACTTGGAGTGCAAGAGTTTGAATACGTTGTATAAACTTTGAAAAATAATCAATTATTAGATTGTATCAAAAGTTGATTAAAAATTTACTCTTAGAATAATAATTTCTATACTATATAATATTATTCTCTTTCATTCTTTTTTATCAAATATTTTCTAACAATTCCTTCTTCATGTTTCAAGACTCGGTAGACACCATAGTTATCGTGCAAATCATCGTTGTCAACTCGTGACTACAATAAGATTTGATTAGTCATATGATTTACTATAAAAAAATTCACATTTTACCAACATTTCAGCTTTAGTGGGGATGGTGACTCGAGTTTGTAAGATGATTTTAGGGTCATTGTCTTTTTTGATCACTATTGGTCGAAAAGTTGAATTTCAATAGCCACGAATCACACAAATAGACACCAATTGTAGAATAATGAAATAAAATAAAAACAAAAAGAATAAAAACCTTTCTTACTGGATAGTAAAGTCTCTCTAGTCTAATTCAGTCTTACCAACCAATTTGACGAAGAATTACATTTCTTCCATCAAACATTTAAGATATCTGGTTGTTTAATATTTTAGTTAATTAAATTGTAGGTGTAGCTATACACCGACTTGAGAAAAGGTTTTCTTACTTTCGTGGGTAAATTTTCCCAAATTGCTTGATTGGTGGAGAATAATTTTATGCAATTCTTGCCATGATCTTTGAAGTAGTAGAAAATAAGTTTATAAAACAAAATTGGGTGAGAATCATTGGAGTGATGACAATCATCATTTTTCATTTTGTTAATAATATATTCATTTTTGCATATAAAAAACCATTTTCAAATTAAAGGTCTTCAACTTAAATTTTAGACAAGTGCTATGGACGTGAGAAAAAGAAATTCTTACTCTAAAAGTTTTGTTGGAAGCTTTTTGGTAGTGGTTCGGCAAGGTCAGTTCACCCATTTAGTTTATATTAGTATCTTTCTACTTGGGCCGTTCAACACTCTACGACATTCATGAAAAGGTTTAGATGGCCAACTCTTTACAAAGTTGGGGGGGTTTGGAATTGCATGGAAGAGTTTAGGGTTCAAAACATTTCTTAAGGCATTAAATAAATTGCTTGTAAATTTTTCCTTTTTATTTTTTATTAATTAATCATGCACCAACTAACAATATTATGTGAATTATTTGGACCCAAACCCATGATTATTACCTGCATTTCACAGAAAGATAAATAGTAGCTATACATGCACTCCCTAATACATTTTTTTTGTTAATTGAAATTTTTTGAAAAGTCGATCAATTTTTTATGACTCACTTCTTATTTAATATAAATCTCATGAATTTATAATTTTTAATAATTTTTAATAAACAATAAAGACTTTGTTAAAAAGAGTATGTTAATAGACTTGTATTCATTTCCATTATTTGGCAAGAAAATTGAAGAACCCTTGAAGACCTAACTTAATGTGATATTAATCATGATTGTTTAACTTCACAAACAATCCAAAAGAAAACTTCTCCATAAGAAAGAAGAAAGTTAATTTCCCTTCAAACTTTAATATTAAAAACATATAATATAAGGGTGCGACAACTTGATATCTATATATATGATATTTCTCATCTATTTGTAGCAAAGCCTTGAAAGTTGAAAACATATGTGCCATCCACTAATGGCTTCAATCTTGTTATTTTTTTTTTTTTTTGATAAGCAAAAGAGATTAATATTAAAAGGAGTACAAGGGGTACTCCAACCCGTTACAAGAGATAGAGATACAAAATTAGTCTAAAATCTAAAATAGAAACTATAAGAAATACAATGTTGGGTTATTATACCAAGTTGAGTAACTAAAAGAACAAACAGGGATAGAACAATTTATCCACTTCCATGAACGCAATTTAATATTATCCAACACTTCCTTGGCATCTATAGTACCTTGCTGAAAGATAATAACATTTCGATGAAGCCATAGGGACCAAATGACAGAAACCCAGACTACTCGCAATAATTGAGAATGTTTTTCATATATGCCAAGATTCGTCCAATATAAATAATGAGAAGTTATAGAATTGGGGAACACCACCGTAACCTCCAACCACTTAGCAACAGCTAACCAAGTGTTGAAAGCCATCGGACACATTAGAAAGAGATGAAGAGGATTTTCTACAAACAGAGAGCAAAAAGAACAGAGATTATTTTCCAACTCCACACCACGTACTTGTAACAATGATTTGCACGGGAACGCATTCAATAGCACTTGCCAACAAAAGACCAAACACTTGATCGGAGCCTTACATTTCCAAAGTCTTTTTATAACTAGTTGAAAATCCGAAGAGTTTCTGAGTTCTCCACCTACCGATCTTTGTAGCCAAAGGTACGCACTTTTCACCGAGAATACACCGTCCTTGTCATAAATCCATCTCCAATAATCTTGCCTTGACGAGATAACTTGCAAGCCCTTAAGCATATCCAACAAGATATTCACACTCCTACCTTCATGGACAAAAGGTTCTCTTCTCCACTTAACCTGCCACACCCATGTAGATCCCTCCCAAGTTCCATTATCTGCCACCACTGACAATGGGTCTAAGGCAAAGGAGAACAACCGAGGAAATACTTCCAACAAGCGCAAACCACCTATCCACTTATCCTCCCAAAATCGGGTCATAGTACCATCACCAATACAACGTTCAATCTTTTCGTCCAACCAATAATTCCCTTGATGTAGCACCCACACTATATCCTTCCCTTGATGAGCATGAGTTTTTGCCAGAGAGTTTGGGGTGGAAAGGAAAAGAGACAAAAGACTTGACACCCATTATTGAGGTGAAGAAACCAGGGAAAGCATCAACCAGCTTCGACAACCTTCATCGCTCTTGTTCTTGGAGTTTCTTCAACGAGGAGACCAAACCCTGGAAATTAGCTGAGTATAATAACATTTGGCCTTAAAATTTTGTTCCCCGTCTATCCTGCTTCATCATGTTATTTATTTATTTATTAATATTCTTGCACATCATGTTGTTAATCCATGTCTCTCAATCTTGAAGATAAATTTGATGTTTTTTCCGTACTCTGATAGTTCTAAAGTTGGTTTAACATTTGGCACGCATGGTGTTCATTCATTGTGCTCGCGTCAGCCCTTTTTCCATCATAACAGTGTTAAGTAATATATAGTGTTTCATTTGTTTTCCCATTTAAGCAACACATGTATGCAACAAGACTTGGTGGTGGAGTGACAAGTGACAAGTGACATACATGCATGCATGTATGATTAATGATGTATTTAGTGCTCTTATTTTCAAGTAGTAGTTAGAGCAATGGAAACAATTATTTGTAAATTATCTGACATTTATAAGTACATATTAAATTTAGAACACAATTTTCAATTATTTATTAATTAGAGCAATGCACCCTTGTGGGCTTATGGGCTAATGAGCCAAGTGTCCCCTTCAATGAATTGAGTCCCAATAAAAGGCTCGGCCTCTTCGTCCGTTAGCACTCGGGCCCATGGCACTCTTCCAGGCGAGTTAGCTCCTGGCCCACTACACTTGTATTCTCCATAATATACTCTTCTGCAAAACACACAAACATAATCACAAAATTAGCCCTTCATCGCATAATTAATTTGTATAAAGAAAATGTAGGATTTCAAGTGTGTTGTATTGAACTAACGAGTCACGATTTTGGTCACCCCAATCACTCCATCCTTTGGGTAGAACTATCTTGTCCATGTAGGTGTAAGAGAATACAACTCTGGAATAATCTCCCCATGCTCTTCCAAGATAAACTTGCCCACTACCTGTTATTGTGCAATTTTTGAACGAGAATCCACTCTCCAATGACGAATTTGTTCGCTTTTGAGCGGTGATCGAAGCCACTTTTTTGGTTGTGGAATTTAGATAGCAATTCTGCTTCCAATCAAAAACTTAAGTAATGCTAACATTAACCAACAAAACATCCTGCTGTGCTATAACATAATATAAAAGACATTCTTTTTAGTTAGATTTTATTAAAAAATTATAAATAAAACTCGTGATACAATATTGGGCCAGAAGAAGCCCATCTACATTGGGCTGAAAAAAGAAAAAGAAAAGGCAGGAAGAGGTACCTGGTAAAGGGACCTTCCGGAACCGAAGATGAAATCAACAGAACCTTGAATAGAGCAGTTGTTGAAGTAATGAAGTCCTTTGTGATCATACAGAGTGTCTTGATCCCCATAGAAAGTGCAATTGTAAAATGCAGCTTTCGTTCCTGAGATGCGAAGCGCCACGCCTTGTTCCCCCCTCCTTCCAATCACATGCGGAGCACTGTTCTGTTTTACCACTTTAATTGTTTCATTACATTTTTTTCACTATATTAATTATTATGTTTATTATTTTATTAATTAAGGTCGCTCACCTTTGACTGGGTAAGCCCAAACATATCTTCTTTTAATTTTTTGAATGCATGCATGATCAAAAGAGATAAAATAAGATTTTGCCACTCTGTGTACCTCGAATTTGATGTTGATGGCCACAAAATAGGAAGCATCCACAGCAACAGTTGCACTCTGGAATGTTCCTAACGGAGTTCCATCTCTTCCGTTGAAGGACGCTGTATCATTTCCAGTAATGGTTGGTGGATCCCCACCATCCCCTAACAACGTGATAAAAGCCAATGTTCTGGGGATCATGATCTTCTCCCTAAACAAATTAACCATTACAATTTCAAATGTAACTTATATATATTATGACTAAAATAAAACCTATATAATATGTAGTTAATTACTATATTATTAAAAAAAAAAACCACTAGCATATATAATATACCTATAAACACCGGGTGCGATGGACACTATAACTCTCCTAGTGTTGCGTAGTGGAACGCTATTAAGAGCTTCTGTAATGGTCTTGAAGTCACCAGCACCATCTTGGCTAACTCTTATCCTAATTCTGTTACTCTCAGCCTGCCTAAGCTTCAAATCTGGACCAGCTGCAACCAAGTTCCGTTTGGCTTCCAAAGTGCTCTTTTTCTCATAATAATAATTCTTCACGTTCCAAGATACCCATTTGTCAAAATCGGCCCCTATCTGTGTATCCAAGCTAGAAGTAATGCATAACCATGATGAAAGAAGAAATATAATTATGACTTGGAAATGGAATTTGGGAACCATGGCAATTGCAATTGGCAATGCTAGCTAGTATTACCAAAATTTCAAGACCGGGCACTACTATAAGTAAAAGTATCTGTTAGTGCATGATCAAAGTCGAAATGGAGACACGTAATATCTATTTACCAAACTAACCCTAATCAAGACGAGATCATATACTCTTCTAACACATGGCAATAAAGTTGAAACTCATTTATATTTATTTATTTTCTATTATTTCACCTTAGAGATGCATGTAATGTGTAGTGGGCACTAAGCATTTTCTAGAACAAAATCAGAAACTTGGTGGCTGTAGGGGAAGGGAGTCTGGGACCCCAAACACCAAATAATCATCATAGTGTAATTCCCAACAATCCCATGGGAATGAATAATGGCGTAGGAGGAAGAAAACTGCTCATAGCTGTATTGCATTTTCCAAAATTCCAAATGGTAGTGGTGGGGGGCCTGTTACGTATGTAGTGCACACATTCTCTGTGTAAGCAACAAAAATAGTTGTGGGGTGAGACTTTTTTTAAAAAAAGAAAAAATATTTTATTGCATCAGGCTTATCAAGCATGTTGCTCACTCGATAGTTTTTGTATTTCTCTTTATTTAATTCTCTAATAGTTTTTGTAATTCTAACCATTGAAAAAGAAATACAACACTCACAAGAAGTTAACTTTAAAATATAGAGGTTTTTGTTTGCTCCAGCAATTCAGAGATATTTAAATTGGGCAAAGTAACGTACTGAATAATGGCCCAAGCAAATATTGCTACAATTAGAGCCCAACTAGCGTAATTCCCATAATTATAACTAGCGTAAAAAAAAAACCATTTCATATGTCTAAGTACTTTTTAAAAAATAAAAATGAACTGTTAACAATAAGAGGGTATAAGCGTTAAGCGATTTTTAGATAGTTGTGGTTATAAGGATAATTGTTCAGCTGTTTTGAAAAGTAAGATTTATTATGAAAAAGTGTAATAACTAAATAATAAAAAAAAAACATGGTAGAGATTGAAAGAGAGTGATTTAAGATGAGGTTATAACAACAAAATTATTCAAGAATTGTGTACATAAAAAGGAGATATCTCCTCTATATATAGTATAGAAAGAAATTGTTTGCAGCATGAATATGAAATTCAATGTGTTTTTTATGACAAAAAGGAGAAAACTGTGAACCGTTTATTTTTTTAATTTTGTGGGAATTATAATACTGTGGAACAAATATTTGTTTTGGTTTAGTTATAGCCATGTTAGTCCTGACTCCATCTACGAGCATTTTGTACAACAATTTTCTTGTATATATGTTTAATAAATTGGGAGTTTGTAGGTGAAGGTTTGTATAGTGTGTTAGAGTATTTGGAAGGTGAAAAGTAACTGTATATTTAATAATGTAACAGTTAACAAAGAGCTTTGAGAAAAAATTCCCTTTAATGCGTGGTCTTGGTTGAATCAACAATTTTGTGTACTCTTTTTGTACAATAAAATATAAGTCCAAGGATTTGGATTAATATGCAAATTGAATGGTTATTTGAACATTATTTTTTTGTGAAGGTGTAGTTGGATGAATGTAGTTCATAATATGTATAGAAGGTAATCGTAGGATCAAAATCTTCTGTCTCCAATTCCTGTCCCCAAATCTTGTCCCTCCAATCACAAATTACCATATCATTACTTTTAATTTTTATTTATATTTTTAAAAAGTGTAACTTGACGATTTTTTCTTTACCAATTCTGTTACCTATGGCATCGATTAATTCGAGACATTTGCTCCATACGAGTCATTCTGTAAGTTGCAGCTAACAGATCTTGGCCATTGCAGCAGCTTGGGCTTCCTGCCTCTCTTACATGGCATTCAAGGACCCAAGCTTGGGGCATTCCCTCATGTGGCCCCTTGCATATTTCTTTAGCACCCACCACTGGGCACATATGCTTTCTTCTTTTTCTTGGTAAAGAAAAAATTGGCACAGAGTTGGTTACACTTTTTAAAAGTAAAAATAAAAATTAAAAGTAATGATGTGGTAATTTATGATTGGAAGGACAAGATTTGGGGACAGAAGTTGGAGACAGAAGATTTTGATCCGTAATCGTAACATGATTTATGGATGAAAAAAATATGGATAACACTTGGAAGTTGGAATTAATGAAAGTGTAGAGAGTTAATATAATTTATTTTTCATTGATGTGTATTGATGTATAAAATGGCTACTAACTATTAAATTAATTAACATAACATTTAATATTATTCTTTTTTTATTTGTTTGGGTATTACCGAAGTTATTTTTTTATCAAAAGAAAATATTTTTCATTTTTAGAGTTAAGTTTGTAGTTCAATATTTTTAATTAATTTTTTTTGAAGAATGGAAATAGCTATTATAATTGAAAAGTGGTTTTAAAAATAAGTTTAATAATCAAATTGTTTAAAAAATTTGTATACTAATATAGATATTTCCTTTACTATTAGTATAGATATCTCATTTCCATATAAATTAAAATAATTATATTAAATATAAATATTTAAAAAAAAATTCCCCATTAAAAATGCTTTAAAGAACTTTTTTAACAAGAATATTTATAGATAATTTTTTTTACTTTTTATATTTTCAATTTATCCCTTAATAAAATCATTAGTCAAAAATTAGTGTTGTGTGATAATATAAATTTTTAATCGTAAATTTAAAATATGATTTATATATTCAAGAATATTTACTTATTACAAAATTTAATCATAATATAATTTATATATTTAAAAATATTTATTTATCATAAATTTTAATTATATAAAATAAATATTCATACTTGTATAATCAAAAGGAATTCTTTCCTTAAATAATATGTTAGTTGAGATGTAATTTTTTTTCTTTGTCAATCGCGGGAATATCTAACAAACTTTCTGATGCATCTCCCCAAGTCCATCACTTGAAGGTCCATCTTAATGGTACAATTCAAATGTAATTATAAAATAATGTGTTTTATTTAGATTATGTAAAATAAAAAATAAAAAATCTTCTATATAGTGAATTACTAAAAGTAACTTGATAAATATCTCAGAACTTTATTTTAATGAAAAATAAATATAGATTTTCACGATAATTGTTTTTCGGTGTAAGGTATATAGTTTGTAAATTCTAATTATTTTTCCCATTATTCTTAACCCTCTTGTAACGTATAGAAAAAATATTATGTGTGTATTAAGAGATTTTATTATTGAGAGAGGCCTAAGCATGAGTATTGTAAGCCTAAACATAGTTTAAAATTTCACATTTATTATAGATATGGTCAAAGTATTTGTTATAAAAAAAAGGAGAAAGTATAAAACACATTTGATTACAACTTATTATTTATTGTAAATTTATTGATTTTGATTTTGATTTTGATAATAACTATTTTAAAAATTTATTAAAAATGATTTTTTAATTAGTATGACAGTATAAAAACTTTATACCAAGTATATAACTACTAAACCCTATAAAAATTGGGACAATTCTCAATTCATGAGTAAAATATCTAGGAAATTGTGCACGTAATAGGAAATATTGGTCCCGCAAAATAATTTACTTGTAAGCTTTTATTTGATACCAAAACATCCCATGATAATCGCTGGTCAAAATAAATGCTAACAAAAAAAGTTAAAGGCATAAATTGAATAGAAAATTGAAGGATGAAATCTGAAACTAAAATTTAAAGTTGCAAATGTTAATTTTGCCAATTTATTATAGCAGAATTTTTCAGATATATAATTAATTAAAATTTTAGAAAAATCATGCCCACCATCGCTGAAGAATCCCAGGTATGGACTTTACACGTTGACGGGTCCTCAAATTCTAAAGGTAGTGGTGCGGGTATCATATTGAAAGGACCAAACCAAGTTACTTTGGAGCAATCCCTCAAATTTAGCTTTAAGGTGACCAATAACCAGGCGGAGTATGAGGCACTCCTCGCAGGACTGAGGCTAGCCCGCGACCTCGGAGCCCGGAGAGTGAGTTGCAACAGCGACTCGAAGCTCATGGTGGAACAACTCAGTGGAACGTATCAGGCTAAGGATACTCTTTTACAACGGTACTTCCACATCGCATCCCACCAGATCTCGTCCTTCGACGAGTTCACCATACAACATGTGCCGCGAGAACAAAACGCCTGAGCTGACCTCCTGTCAAAGCTCGCCAGCACCAAAAGGCTCGGACAGCACCGAACTATCATCCAGGAGACCTTGCACTCACCCAGCTTGGACGATAAAGTCGTCAATGTCAGTAATAGCGAAGACCTGGGGTGGATGACAGACATTTGGAGCTACCTGAAAGAGGGAGTCTTGCCCGAAGGAAAGGACGAAGCTCGAAAAGTGAGGATGAGGTCGGCTAAATTTATCATTATCGGGGAAGAGTTATTCAGACATGGCGTCTCCACTCCACTGCTCAAGTGCTTGACTGCGCCTCAGGCAGCCTACGTCATCGAGGAAATCCACCGGGGCATATGTGGCATGCACTACGGCGCACGCTCAATGGCGACCAGAGTACTCCAAGTTGGATACTACTGGCCCACTCTGAAGTCGGATTGCCAGGACTACATACAAAAATGCAAAGAGTGCCAACAGTTCGGCAACACACATCGACAACCGCCCGAAACTCTCCACCATATGATGTCAGCATGGCCTTTCTCCCAATGGGGAATGGACATCCTCGGGCCATTCCCCCCCGCGAAGGGTCAACTCAAGTTCCTCCTGCTGGCGATCGATTACTTCACCAAGTAGATTGAGGCATGCCCACTCGCCAAAATCACCACTGAGAATGTGCAAAAGTTTACCTGGAAGAATATTATTTACAGATTCGGAATCCCTCACACCCTCATTACCGACAATGGCCGACAATTCAGCGCACAGGGATTCGAGGACTTCCTCCGCGAGCTCGGTATCAAGCATCTCCTAACCTCGGTGGAGCACCCTGTCGCAACCCAGATTTTTCCGATCTTGCGACCTATGGTTTAGACATTTTTTAAAGATCTCATTAATTAAGGAATGCCCGGACACCAGACTAATCCTTAATTAATGGTTTTGAAAATAGGTTCTATAGAGTCGCCACCAATGTTTTTTA